TTTAATAGAGTAAATTACCTTGACATGGAAAACATTGCCCTGTGCTCGCATAACCATTTCATTTGCAGGGATGGACTTACTGCAAGCCCTGCAGGCTCCACTGTGACCGAATAATCTGTAGTGAATATGATAAATCACAAATGTCTTTTAATAAGCAAGTCATTATAAATTTAATACCAAGTTTTTTTTTCCATCTCTCACAAACACAGGAAGGCTACATATAGTATAGCTATTTGAATTTTTGCTTACTTTGTTTCCTCTGTTAAAAGGATAATTTAACCAAAAATTTAATTCTGTCATTTACTCATTACTTTTTTTTAAACCATACAATGAAAATCAGTGGGGTCCATTGTTGTTTTGGGCCCAAATTACTTTAATTGAAAAACAATTGAAACATACAGTATTTAAAACCTCTTCTTTTGTGTTTCCCTTAAAAGGATATTCACCCAAAAATGAAAATTCTGTCATCATTTATTCACCCTTTTTTTTTTTTTTTTCAAACCTGTATGCATTTCTTAATTTTGATATACACAAAAGATGATATTTTGAAGGATCATGATAACCAAACCGCTCCCATTCCCAATCAATAACATTGTATTTTTCGTCTATACAATGGAAATCAATTGAAACCGAAAGTGTTAAGTACCCAACATTCTTCAAAATATCTTCTTTTGTGTTCCACAGAAAAAACTAAAGTTATACAGGCTTGGAACAACATGAGGGTGAGTAGATGATATATATTTTTTGGAGGACTACCATTTTAAGCTTAACACAGTTTATTTTTTATTTTTATTATACTCCCAGAAGACTTATGAGATGCATAAAAGAACTGCTCTCATTTATCTAGTATATTTGTTAGCTCAGGGTGTGAATGATGGTAAATTATCAAGGATGACAATAACAAAACGGAGTGTTGTTCCTCCTGTAGTCTGACCTTATATAGTCACTTTTGCATAGGATCAAGCCACGCTTTGTGAAACACGATGAGCCCATTTCTGCCAGCTGGGCTTGACAGCAGGAGCACTTGAGACAGTGGCAGTGCCAGTACCCATCCAAAGCAAACAGGAGGAAGCGGTCTGAAATCTTGCATCCACATCCAATGCACCACTTCCATGCCAGGGCCCCCATTCTGACATGAGGCGGTTGTGCATTACAAGCAGTGTTTACCATAATAAATGGGTCACTACCTGGAATAGAACGCATGTAAACTGAACAGATGTTTCAGTTAACTGGACAACAAATACAAACTGTATTCAATTAGTTTATGGGTCAGTTTAATAGAGTAAATTACCTTGACATGGAAAACATTGCCCTGTGCTCGCATAACCATTTCATTTGCAGGGATGGACTTACTGCAAGCCCTGCAGGCTCCACTGTGACCGAATAATCTGTAGTGAATATGATAAATCACAAATGTCTTTTAATAAGCAAGTCATTATAAATTTAATACCAAGTTTTTTTTTCCATCTCTCACAAACACAGGAAGGCTACATATAGTATAGCTATTTGAATTTTTGCTTACTTTGTTTCCTCTGTTAAAAGGATAATTTAACCAAAAATTTAATTCTGTCATTTACTCATTACTTTTTTTTAAACCATACAATGAAAATCAGTGGGGTCCATTGTTGTTTTGGGCCCAAATTACTTTAATTGAAAAACAATTGAAACATACAGTATTTAAAACCTCTTCTTTTGTGTTTCCCTTAAAAGGATATTCACCCAAAAATTAAAATTCTGTCATCATTTATTCACCCTTATTTTTTTTTCTTCAAACCTGTATGCATTTCTTAATTTTGATATACACAAAAGATGATATTTTGAAGGATCATGATAACCAAATCGCTCCCATTCCCAATCAATAACATTGTATTTTTCGTCTATACAATGGAAATCAATTGAAACCGAAAGTGTTAAGTACCCAACATTCTTCAAAATATCTTCTTTTGTGTTCCACAGAAAAAACTAAAGTTATACAGGCTTGGAACAACATGAGGGTGAGTAGATGATATATATTTTTTGGAGGACTACCATTTTAAGCTTAACACAGTTTATTTTTTATTTTTATTATACTCCCAGAAGACTTATGAGATGCATAAAAGAACTGCTCTCATTTATCTAGTATATTTGTTAGCTCAGGGTGTGAATGATGGTAAATTATCAAGGATGACAATAACAAAACGGAGTGTTGTTCCTCCTGTAGTCTGACCTTATATAGTCACTTTTGCATAGGATCAAGCCACGCTTTGTGAAACACGATGAGCCCATTTCTGCCAGCTGGGCTTGACAGCAGGAGCACTTGAGACAGTGGCAGTGCCAGTACCCATCCAAAGCAAACAGGAGGAAGCGGTCTGAAATCTTGCATCCACATCCAATGCACCACTTCCATGCCAGGGCCCCCATTCTGACATGAGGCGGTTGTGCATTACAAGCAGTGTTTACCATAATAAATGGGTCACTACCTGGAATAGAACGCATGTAAACTGAACAGATGTTTCAGTTAACTGGACAACAAATACAAACTGTATTCAATTAGTTTATAAGTAGACAATAAATTAACCAGAGGGCCTCTATCTATATGACACCGACAGATACACAATCTTGTTCAAGTAAACAAGTTCAACTCACCTGCTTCACAACTTCATGCTTTCACATACTCATCAATATCGCGTTCAGTCTGTCAGTTCAGATAGACGCAGACACCCGTCCATTTCTTGTCTTTAGGCAAAAATGAAAGGTCATAAACATGAATATAACTTCGTTTACCTACACTTAAATGACCTCTCGCTTGCATCTCCTCATGAGGTCTGAACGCTGCAAGTTAACGGCGCTCGTTACGCAGACTTCTATCCCTTTTAAACATCCGTGAGGTGACATCAGGCTCGCTTCAGCCAATCAACAGCCACTTAAATTTTAGTCTCGCGCTGAAGCAGCCCAGCAGATGCAGATGCTAAATTATTGATGCCATCAGAGTGGCGCATTCGTCACTTGCACTGACATTTCACTATATTTAATGTACTATATACATTTTAATTGTAAATCACAAAATTAGCAGGCAGAAATTGATTTATCAAGGTGACTTGAAGAAGTTTAGAAGAACTGCCTCACGTTTCTCAGTCGGAGTCATTTACAATGGGGCCTAATCACCCATATTAAAGACCTGATTACGGCACACACACAGAATCATGGCCAATCAAATCACTATGAAAAGAAACCTTGACAGCAGTCTGATTGGTTGGTAATAGAAAATCATACGTGAGAAAAGGATCTTGCCTTCTTATCATCTGTCTGTCATTTAGCCATGATTACCATCAGATTAAATACAATCAAAGCAGTTTGGGTGAATAGGTGGTAGTCATGGGAACCAGCGATAACTGTTTATCTTGTCAAATGATCTTAATTCAAACCTGCTCACTCTAGATTACAGAGATGTAGGAGCTGAGAGGGGGTTGTGTTTGTCGGCTTCTGTCACTCATTATGGTGTATTATGTCACTATTCAATGCAGAAAATTAATCTCTGATGACATGACGAAGCCTTAAGAGTGGCTTAGTGTTGATATATAGTGTGCTGTTTACTTTGAGGAACTAAAACCTTCTAACTCCATGTTTACTTTTATTTTGAGGCTGCTAATATCTGCAGTTGCACTCTGTTTGCCACATATTGCCTGTTTGGTGTCGTGGTTTTGGGCTTTCATGTTGAAGGTTAGGTGTTGGTTGTCTTCCCTAGCGTTTAGTTAGTGTTCTCTGTTCTGGTTCTTGTTTGCTTTCTGGTTTTGATCAGTTTTCTGGACATTTTTTTTGTATTTCTCTTTAGTTGATCTCATTTGGATCCAGTTCTCCCTTGTTTCCGAGTTCACGTCTGTGTTGTCGTTGTATGAGAAAAAATACAATATACCACTATTAAAAAAACGGTTAAAATGACAACAAACAAACAAAAAACACGGTAGCTCTGTCATTTCTGGTTGCCTGAAATTCACTGTCAAAAGTATGTGACAATGTTTCAGGTATTATGGCATATTAGTGCCTGAACATTAAATGATATGATATAATGTTAATATACCAAAATCTGCTTTTTACCTTAAAATGTACTGATAACCATAATAAAACAGGTCGAATAGAAAGTCACATGGCCAGTACTGGTAAATAAACATGCACAGGATCATACACACAAAGAAAATACATAGGCACAGCACACATAAAAATAAAAAAAAACGTTTTAATGCAAAACACACTAATATACATGATATAAAAAGAACAACATGTATTTAGAGTGTAAGCATATATAATACCACGCAGAGACTTCAGGGAATGTCCTTTTACTGTTGCTTTTTTTAACATAAAATTGATAGTAATTTGATTTCATTTTTAATTGCAAAAACCATAAATTTGACAGTATATTACCGTAAAAATATGTATAATATAATATTAAACCATTTACAGTTTTCACCTTATATGGTAAGGTAAGGGAACTTACAGTAACACATTTTCACTGTGACATTTTTACTTTTTATTGTTATACTCCCGTTTCCCCCTACCCAATATTAAAAAGAGACATATGGACACATGTAGATGTGAATGAACCAGACTGGTTACCATCCCAGGACTAAATTACAGTTTAAAATATATTAAAATAGAAAACGTTAATGTTAATGTGCTTTTAATGTATTTTTGATCAAATAAATGCAGCCTTGGTGAGCATAAGAGACTTCTTTCCTAAACATGAAAAAAATCTAATCTTTTTGTTTAATGTTTAATTTGTGTTTGTGTCATTAGTAACAAAAAAGAAGAAAATGAAGAATATTACATAAAATATAAGCCTCCATATATTTTGGTTTCTCCTTTGATTAAAAAAAAAGTACTTTTAGAAGACATAAAACAGTCTGTGATATTTTATCAAAATTATAATGATAAGGGAATAACAGAGAAGGGAAAAAATCTAAATAAATCAACTCTTTTTATTATGGCTGACATATCCAAAAATCTGTTTTCAAATCTACCTCAGCAATGTCAGCAGGAAAGAGCAAAGCTCCTGGAGGCTCATTAATTTGAAATGAAAAAACGAAACAAAAAAAACAACAACCAAAGAACAGAGCAAATACAGGCTCACATGGTGTCACTGTGAAAGAAAAGAGAAATATTAAAACCGATATATATTTCATATGCACAGGTTACTCTAGTGTTTCACATACAGTACAGATTGGTTTTGATGCTCTAAAACCATCTAAAAGAACCTGTACATTGTCAAAACATTTTTTTATGTAGCAAGGGAGAATTTGTCACAAAGACCTACTGTTCTACTGATATTTTGTCTTGGAGATTTTAAGGGCAAATGTGCAATCCAGCACCCATTTCATGCACAAATGTGTGTTTAGTAAAGATCCTGTACATTTAAACACTAGAATTGTACAGACACATTTCCATTTTCAAAAAAACATCAGTTCGTCTTGTAGTACCATCAACAAGGCAAGCAATTTCACATGATGGCTGCCTATTTCCACATTGATGTTAATAATGGCAATCTATGCAACTGTACCTACATTTCACGTTGTAAAACAACTCCTCACCTATTCATATGCCGAGATATCAAGTCATATTTACACTGGCTGTAATAACAGCTCTGTGTTAGAGGGAAAAAAAGGCACAATCTCGCTGAATTTAGAGTCTTTCTTTCATTGAACACATTTAAAGTCCATGATCTCTAAATCAAAGCAGCAGACAAATGGTATGTTGCCACGAGAAACAAAGTATGTTTAAACTACATTAAAAAAACATGATAATTCAGTCATAAAATATATAAACAGCAAATTAAAACAAAAACAAGTAACAGTACACTGATCCACATGCAGATAAACATTTCATCTTCAATTCTTTATCCTCCCATTTTTAAATGTTTTGGTCCAGCTGTAACTGTAATGACTAGTATTTACATATATTTGTAGATAAAAAATATATTATCTGCAATTGCTGAAAAAATGCAAGACTGAACCCCAAGCAGAAGGTTCTGTTTTAAAAATGGCAAACCGAAAAATGTGCAGAATTGTTTCTGGTATTTCAAAGACAAGATATATGATGCGTTTTTAACCATGTGAAGTACATCCACATCTGTGTTTTTCCAATAAATCCCATAAATAGCCTTATGAAAGTCCAAGAAATAAAGTATTCCTCATTTTACTATATTGGAAAAAATGACTTTGTCAGCTTGATAAGAATGTTTAGTAGTCATCTGTACTTTGAAGATGTAAAAACTCCCAAAAAACTATAACCATATACGCATTAAATAAATCCAATAACAAAACGTTCTGAAATGTGGCAGCACCTGTATCAAATCCCTATTGCAGAAAGGTGATGGTTGTCTTGAATAACGACAAGAACAAGACCTCAGTCACTTTTAAAGCTCATTAGAGAGCTTTTAAGCTTTCTTCAAAATGATATGTATTGGGGGGATAGAGCGCTTGACAGCTATTTGGCTGCAAGACTCTTCCCTGTGGCACGGACTAGTTTCAGTTGCTCTAAATGCACACATCCAGATGGAGAACAGTCGGGCAGAATGGATGGCGCCCTCCCTCCAGTGTTTCTGACCACAGCATAATGTGTTATGGAGCACCGCTGAGTCTCAGGTAGTCTTTGGGTAGATTTTCTCATAGAAAAAGTTCTGTGCCAGTAGGTACAGTTCTCCATCTTTTTCTCTCACCGCGTGAGCCCGAACGTACTGGAACTGCTCTAGTGCAAACTCATAAAACTCATTCTCCATTTTCCAGATGTCTGACTGTTGCAGTCTGGCTATAGACTCTTTGGTGGGCGGCTTCTTCTCGCTCGTTTTCCTTAGGTGCGATTTCTTCCCTTTAGAAACAGACACAAACATTTAACAAAAATATTCACCATCTAATAGACTTGTTAAAACATGCAGTCGTACCTGTCCGATAGAGCTCTGTGGCCCCCTTAAAAAAGCGAGGAAGTGCCGCCTCCAACATCATAACAAAGTCTTCCAACTCCTCCGTCACTCCAACTAACATGTATTCATTCACCAGGTTGTATTTGGCTTGCTCCAAAGCCCATTTGCTGCCAATGTTCCTGTGAAGAAGTGGTTGAGAAAATGTAGCAAGAGTCCTACAAGTGGTAGATCTGAATTACGCATGAAGACAGTGAGCAGCCTACCAGCACTCAGAGTAATGACCACAGAAGAAGGGAATCTGAAGCCACAGTTTCTCTGGAGCACAGTCAGATCCTCCAGCAGCTACACACTCATCAAACGTCTGAAACACACACAGATCTCGGAGTTGAAAAAAAAAATACAGTTTACATGTTCTGAGTTCAGTATGTAATAAAGAAAATAATTATGGTGGCACAAACTGTGGTTATAGTAATAGATGTAATAGTGTTTTATTACTATTTTTTGTTTTTGTAATGTCATGTCATCTTCATGGCGAGAACAAATTGAATAACAAAAGTCATACAATTAATTAAGACAAAAATTCTAAAGTACATTCGTTTTTTTCTACTTTTTAAAATACACCCGACTCTGAATAAAAACACATTCTAGTAAGATCTAGATGAACAGATCAACAACATCGTACCTAGATTTAAAATGACTGAAAACCCTTTATATACTAGGATTTATTCCATAAAAATCAATTCCCTGGCATTGATACCATCCCCCCCGCCACTTTTGATTAATATAAGAGTAAATTAAACAAGACCAGTGTTCAGGATGTTAAAAGCACAACTTCTATTTGATTTTTTTTTTTAAATTATAAATAAATAATAATAATGTATAATATATTATTTAATATAATTAAATATTCAAAATATATTTATATTCTTATATAAATACAAATTATTATAAAATTGTATTTGTACTTTTTACATAATAATATATAAATAATTTTTTACAATACATTTTACAAAATAATATTTCAATATTAAAAATATTTAACATTACATTTTCCTATTATTATTATTATGTAATGATTTTTACTAACCCTATAACTTGTATTTTGTGAACTTAAACTGGGGTACTTTATAGTCTTGAAATTCATAATAATTAAAAACAGGATCAAAGTAGACGAAACAAACATTTCACCTTTTTGTCCCCTTGCTTTCTGCGTCGCAGACCTGGTCTGTAGTCATCACCGAAGCGCAGGAAATAATAGTAAGACACCAGACGCTCAATAGGGTCCCGGATAACATTTATGTAAATAGGCTTTTTCTTCACTCCAAATCTGATAATGAGATGGTAAAAGAAGTGCAATTAGTAATGTATTAGTATAGTAGTATTAACACATGTTTTGGGCATTTAGGCATAATTAAATAGTTGCTTTACGCATGAAGGTAAGGTATAGGGAGACCCACAAAACTGGAAACTAACAATATGATTGTATTGTTTAAAATGAGCTTGCTGGAACTCCTTTCACGGCCACCAGGAGTCAGCAGCATCAAACTGCTTTTTGGGTCGTTGGGAATGTAAAACAACATCCTTTCAATGGATATGAATGAATGAGTGGCTAGTTATGCAGAATGTTGGCAAATCATCTTTCAGTGATGTTGGCATTGAATGCAAAACCTGAAACCACTCTAAACAAAGAGTAGAGAAAGAGAAACAAAATGTCAGGAGCACACAACACATACTTGGTGAAGTCCAGGAAGGAAACATGTCCATGGTAGAACGCAGGCTTCATCTCCTTCCATAACGTCACATTCTTTACAAACCGTACCTGAAACATGAATACATAAATAATAATTAAAAAATTAAATAAATGAATCACAAAAAAAAGAAAAAAAAAAAAGATGTCAACCTTTTTAGCATTTAATGATAAATAATTAAAGCCTCAAGATAATATAAAGCTACCATACTATAACATCTGCTGTAGTGCACTATTAAGGAAATGCTTTGTGCCTTTTAGAGGCTGTTTGGTGCATTTCAGCAAATGGAAACATTTGGATCCTTCCAGCATTATAATGTGTTGTTCGGATGGCTGTAAGTGGGAAGCACTAACAGTGAACATGCACAAGTGATACAAAACTGACCTGATCCTGAAGAGACATGACGGGATTGTTTTTGCTGGTATTGATGTGCAGCACATGGTAGTGGTTCTTGTTGCACAGGTCGTAGGCGATGTTGGTGAAGGAGGTACTGGCTGTTTTGGGCACTCGGTTGTAGATGACCACCAAATCGTCCTCCTCTACCAGGGCCCCCTTTGCCCCGTCTTGAATGTGCCGTTGCTCAATCTCTCGTACCTCATGTCTGGCAATGACTCGTTCTGCAATGGAGGAGAAGATAAGGAGACACTGATGCAAAATTAATTCAGTATTGAATAACTGCAGAAAACCCTGCCATATACCGGATTCTAAAAGTACTGTATGTTGAGGGAACAAAATTGTAAAGAATACTGGATTAATAATTATATCTTAAAGGAAAATTAATGTCTTTTATTAGATTTCAGCAGTAAACACTTAAGTTACAGAATTTTTTGATTGTTGCCTTAGTGACCTGGTGCTAAAAGGCTTCAAGATTTTTTTTATAATAATAATAATTTAAAAAACCCTCACAAGTGTGAACTTGCACTCAACAATAACGCTCTAATTTAATTCATATATTTAATCATCTTTAAAATATATATTTTTGACAAAGGTAAAAAAAAATCTTAATTGCCAGAATTCTGTGTTTTTTATTTATTCATATTTATTTTTCATATTACATATATTTGTATATGAGCATGTGGCCTCAGTCAGTGACCTGGTGCTAAAAGGCTTTAAGATTTTTTTAAAATAATAAAGTAATAACAATAACAATAATCTTAAAAAATCCAAACAAGTGGGAACTCACACTCAACAATAACAATAATGTTCTAATTGAATTAATATATTTAATTATATTTAAAATATATACTTTTGACAAAGGTAAAAAAAAACCTTAATTGCCAGAATTATATATTATTTTTCTTTATTAAGATTTATTTTTAATATTATATATATATAATTTTGCAGTTCTGTATGGAATTTTTTTAAATTGTTTTGAAAGTAATGAATTTTAGAGTTTAGAGAGATATTTCTACTCAATTCAGAATTAAAAGTATCCTACATACCAGCTAATTATTTTATGCAAAATGTTGACTGTTTTGAAATTGCAATTTAGTGAATTCCTCTTCCTGTCATTTGAATTCAAATTACAATTTCTCATCAATTTTTGAAATTCAGAATTTTGACCAAACATGCTATTTTTAAATTGCATTACGTAAATGTTAACAAAAGGCTAAATTACAGTAATGCAAAATACAGACAATGTTTGAAGCGAATTCATGAACAAAATTTACTCTGCAGTTGAAACAGAAAAGGTCCTGTGGTCTGGTAATACTCGTGAGATCCTGAGACGGAAATCTAACAGTGTACACGATGTGGTGACAGTAGTGTGTAAATGTGAGCAGGCGCTCAGACAGCTGCTACTGTGAGGTGATGATGTCAAGCCAACCACAGCACATTCCCACTCAACTCTGACTGCTCTCGAGTCAAAGAGCCCAGTCTCCAACCATCACATGTGGACAACTGCTATCACTCATGAAAGCTGGTGCTACGCCACATTATGGTTCCCCTCACGGCAACAGAGAATAACTTGTTACTGTTGCAAAAAGCATTTTGACATTTTAAAGGAATAGTTGTACATTTTCTAAAAATGTTCTCACCCTCAGGCATCCAAAATTTAGATGAGTTTGTTTCTTCATTGGAACAGATTTGGAGACGTATTACTTCACAAGACGTTAATTGATGGACTAGAGTCGTGTGGATTACTTGTTGATTATTGAGATGTTTTTAGCAGCTGTTTGGACTCTCATTCTGATGGCACCCATTCACTGCAGAAGATCCACTGGTGAGCCATTGACGTAATGCTACATTTCTCCAAATATGTTCAGATGAAGAAACAAACTCATCTACATATCGAATGACCGGAGGGTGAGGAAAGTTTCCGCAAATGTTCATTTTTGGGTGAGCTATTCCTTTACAATTTTGAGAAAGAGAAAACAATATAAAACAATAAAATATCATAATCTACTCTTTGATATTAGTAATCCACCACTAAAAATTGTATGTGATTTATATGTGATGAGCTGTAATGGGAAATTTTAGACTCTTTCTTTTGAAATTCTTGTGGTAAAAGTGTCGTCTGGGTTTATGGTTAGACGTGCATGTTGCAGACTGTTTCACCATCTCATTACTCCTGCAATACCCAGCCTAATGTAATAATATAATTGCATGTTAATGAAAAAAACACCCTGACTCATTACCTATTTCCTACTTGATAGGCACACAACTGCTGCATTATGCGGAGTGAAAGCGCTCTTTTAAAAACGGACAGGCAGCAAGAAGGCCCTCAGGCTGACTGTGTATAACTGATGCTATGGAAGACTGCTGATATTCACTTCTAATGGCCTTTACAGCACTGTGTTCTTTCATAAGAACCTCTTCAGAAGTACAATGACTTATTAAATGTCATAGAATATTCTTGTACCCGGAAAACATTACTTAAATTAATTTCTGCAGTTATTGTGGTGTTTTCCAAGCAATTCACATCTACACGTTTCCTGAGAACAGTACAAACAAACAAAACAAGAAATCTAGTCATATAATAAGCATTTATTTATTAATAATTAGGCCAATAACACTATTTTTTGGGGACCTAAATCAATAACGTTATTCAAAAACATGAAGAAAAAAAAAACAACAACAAAAAAAACACATTAATACACCTCTACTAAGACAAGCATGTTTTAAAGGGGTGGTTGACTGTTTTTTTTTTCTAGGCTTGATTGTGTTTATGGGGTGCAGTCTAACATGTGTTAATGCTTTGTTTTAAAAAACGCACTATTTTTCACATAATTTACCTTTATTCTACACCGCTCTGTCCATTCTCCCATAAACACGCTGATCATTTCCTGCTTTTATGAAGCCCCTCCCTCAGAAATACATGATGGGCTCTGATTGGTTAGCTGGCCCAGTGTGTTGTGATTGGCTAAACCTCCTCTAGACTAAACATCGCGCCCCTCACCTCAGCGGCATGTGCTCCGGTTGTATTGTAAACAACGGCGTCGTCTATATTGCTTATCAGTTTGAGCCCGATTGAGACGCAGAGGATATTAGTGAAGAGGATCGCGCAGAACCTGTGCAAGCACTGCTTTTAATGGTATGTTTTTTGTTTGTTGTTGTCTCATACTTTTAGATACGCTGTTATTTGTAAATGCTACTGCTTCTGTTAGCTTTTAACATACGGTTTTATTTAAAGCTGATTAAAGCTTTAATACAGTACGGCAACCGCACGTGCATCCATGTTTAACGCTTCTCATAGCTATGTGAAAATAAGTGTATAAATGGAACAGTTCATTGTTGGAGCTGAGCTGAGTGTGTGCAGAGCAGGGGGACGCAAAGAACAGTATTAAGAACCGCTGCTTTAGAACATTGATTTTGAAACTTGTGAATCCATTAGACTCGTTAGAAGACAGAATCACGATTCATATATCAATAGATTTTTACGTGCACCTCTAGTTTTCTCTTCTCTAAAGCAGTGCAGCATGGCCATTAGTTAGTTGTTTATTTTTATTACCATGTCAGCATAAGGCTATCTTCATGGCAAAAACCGAGTTGGAATAATACAATTTACAAGCACAAAATAAAGCCACATAAACACAAAATTCTACAAGATTTTTTAAAATTAACATATGATAAAAAACTATTTTCCGGTAAAATCTTACTAAACAATTCCCTGAGTGAGCTTACTTCATAAAAAAAGTGTTCTACTTGCATTAAAACTTGGATAGTCCAATAAAATGTTTAATGGAAAGGGAGGTTTTGCAGAACGTGCATAAGCAAAAAGGCATGGGTCAATCTTGTATGACCTATACCACATTTTTATGTATATGTAAATATTAAAAAACGTAATAAATAAATAATTAAAAATCATATTAAAATATTAAATTTTTAAGAATTTAACATGCATTTTAAACTGCTTTTTATTTTTTACTTTTTTTGTCTTTGACCCAATTATATATTTTCAGACCATAAACAGATATGTAACATAATAATGCATGTGAAATGACAGTGCAAAAAATGTTAATGGTAAAGTTGAATGTCTTGTTCCAGTAAAGGCCAAAAATAATAAGATGAGGGAATGAAATTTAATATCGAAGTGTCAAGATGCTCAGGAGGAGCAGAGGATTTACTGCAGCCAGCTGCCAAACCTGACAAGTTATACTCTGACTGATGTCTTTTCAATGATTCAAATCAGGTTACAGTGTTTCCTTAGATAGAACAAATCATTCTTTCAGTCAATTTTGCCTTTGAGAGACACTACAACATGGAGGTCACTGTAGGGCCATTTTATATTCAAGCTTGTTAGCTCCAGAAGTGGCATTATCATCATGCCACAAGAACATTTACAGCCTTGGCCGAGTAAGAGAAATGGAGTAGTGCGGTACCTTAACTACAAAGGAAAAACAGACCTGAAGTATGTTCTGTCTACAAAGAGGCCATAAAAATCGACTAAGAAATGCAAGCAGCTGTACTCCTCTGGTATTCATGGGGGCTTTGAAGTTTTAATAAACAGTTAGTAAAGCATTAAGCTCATAATCTGCCACAGGTTATGTACCATCTGGTTACACACAACAGGATGCACCAACTGACACCAAGAATTGTTGTTTGTGTTAGACTTGCTATTCATAAGATTAGTTTGCATAAACTGAAAGGGCATTACCACTAATTTGAAATTATCATCATTACACGTAGACTAAACTGTATCGATTTTTCAATAAAATGGATTTACAATTTACACCTTGAGGTATGAGAAACTTATGTAACTTGAGAAGTCAAAATTCAATTTTACACATAGGATTTAGTGTACACTACCATTCAAAATATTGGGGACAGAAAGATTTTCTTTAAAGGGGTCATATGATGTTGCTAAAAAGAACATTATTTGGTGTATTTGGTGTAATGAAATATTTATGCGGTTTAAGGTTAAAAAAACACATTAATTTCCACATACTGTACATTATTGTTTCTCCTCTATGCCCCACCTTTCTGAAACGTGTTGATTTTTACAAAGCTCATCAGTCTGAAAAGCAAGGTGTGCTGTGATTGGCCAGCTATCCAGTGCGTTATGACTGGCCGAATACCTCAAGCGTGTGACGGAAATGTTACGCCCCTACCATATTGTGGTGATGTCCTGTTAGGCCGGAGCGACGATTCAAAAACATGAAAACCCATTATAAACGAG